GAAAATATTTTTGATTTCATTATTTTAAGTGCATCCCTGCAGAAATCCAAAGTCAGGAAGAACTGATATATGAATAACCTTTTGAACGTTACTTTTTGGCTGAATTATTCATTTAAATATTAGAACCAAGTTAAGGCTAGTTGATTGTTTTAAATAGGTTCTTGGAAAAGGTCTTTAAAATAATTGGCTGAATAAATAATTAATTTGCATTCAAACATGTTATAAATTCTGAAAAGCAAAGTGAGAGTATGAAGTAAAAACCAATAGAGAACAATGTTTATAGCATTATAACTAATGGATGAAAGGATGGAAAAAATATTAAAATACAAAGGAAAAAATATAAGCATAAGGAAAAAACACCTAAATCTGATAATATTTTAACAATAATTAACATTCTACTCACTTTGAGATGCGATAAATGGAAAAGCAGAAATAGATGCTCTTGCTCCATGCGAGGCGCGTTCTGAAGAGTAGCTAATTGTATGTCGACCACCCGCAGTTGGTATCCTCCTACTTTCGAGCATTGCTCTCTCCAAACGAGTTACACCAGATCTTGAAGAAACGGTCGAAATACCGGCAGATGTTATCGAACCTGCAGTTAATGTCTCAGATACGTTCTGTCGAGACAGTGATAAGTTTACTTGTGAAGGAAATTCCGGGTCACAAATGGTAGAAGCCTCTAGATGAGCCGACCGAACTCCGGGACTTGATCTTTCTCTCGACCGAGTGGCTCCTGAAATAGCGGTCGTCCTCAGTAAGGAAGAGTAACTTGCAGGGTCATCATTGGATACACTCTCACGTAGTTTATGTCTCAATGGCTTTTGAGGCAAGATAGTTCTATCATCAAAGGTCCCATCTTCATCTGGCTCACAGAAACCGGTGGTGCATAGGTCTGGAATTCGATGTACTGAGGGATCTTTAAGAGCAAGTCGGAGGCCAAGGGGTTGCTTAAAGCAACTTGGATGAATAGGCCAAGAACGATCGTCATTAGTGACCGGGCTCAAATCACTTACTTTCTTTTTATCTCGATCATCTTCGCTAACCCCTTTAACATCTACACTACCATCGTCTTCCTCGTCATATTCATCCTCATCTTCATCAACTCCATCATCCTCTTCGTTATCATCCCCGGAATCATCAGTCCCTTTATCCTGTTGATCTAGACAGTTTAGAGTATCATCTCGAAGACTGCAGGTCAGTGAGTCCTGGCGCAGTCTAAAACGCGCTTCAAGGCCACAAATAGAGCCGTTGCCGCTTACTGGGCTTGCTCGACTAGACAAGCTTCGTATGGGCTCACCATGCTGATCCATTTAGCGAAGATTATGAAAAATATTAAAAAAGCGAGCAATAAATAAAAAAATAAGATAAATATTATGCATGCACAAGATAATTATATTTAGTACAGAACAAAAGGTAAATAATAATGAGTTGTGATGGGGCTAGCTAAACCTTCTACGCCAACAAAAGAAATAAGATCAAGATACAAGAAAGCTAAATAGGTAAACTATGTGCATGATAAAAAAATTGTCCTCAAGATGCTGAAGTCCAATAATATTAAGTTATGTAGGATGGAATAAAAAGAGAAACTAGTATACATGTGAAAACACATTAATATGCTTAATATTAATAGCTTAAACAAAGAGATGACATATATTTGATTGCACATAAACCTAGGTTGGATGGTAAGTCCAAATAAACGTTAGTATTATTTAAAATTCGTTAAAACAACTTAATTCACTAAGCAAATACTTCAAGAAACTAGTAAATGAAAAGGTTATTATTTAATGGAGGTCGAGAATTTGAGATTGTATTTTCATATCTTCTTTTATTTGTACTTCTCCAATGACTGTTCTATCGGCGTGAAACAGTCTAAGAATCATGCCTTTTTTGAAGATATTTTGCAAATGCGAAAAAGAAGTGCATTATAATTAAATTAACTGACGATCAACGATTTCCATCTTACAATGCTTTCCTAATATAAAAAATTATAACCTGGTTTAAATGATACTTCCGGGTGAGATGTATTCACCTAATCTCGTTTAAGGTGATGAAGGAGTGGTAAAAGAATTTTCCCATAATGATATGAGTAGAACTGACGTTTCCATTAAATCTCGCATAGCCTTGCTTTCCCAAAAGTTGTTCTCATCCAGGATGGACTGCAGTTTCGACATCGCATCGGTCTTATTAACACCCCCAGCGGGAGTCGAACCGTGACAGTGCAGAATAGGAGCCTGACACGTTAACCCCTCGGCCACATTGTCACGAATGCCCTTGGGTCACAGGGCAAATGTGAATTTCAATGAAGGCCAGGCCTTTTACCATATCATAATCTTTGGTGGGATTGTCGATGAAGCAAACGTATATTTGTTATAACAATCGACTACGTTACTTTATTTTTCGCATTTAAGTAATGTTTCGAGAATACCAGTAAATCAGTAATATGAGATGCATTCAGCCAATTTCGTTTAAGGTGATGAAGGACTGGTAGAAGAATTTTACCACAATGATATCAATAGAGCTGACGTTTCCATTGAATTTCACATAGCCTTACCTCCCAAATAGTATTCCCATTCCTGTTGGAGTGGACTGTCGTTGGCAATCTCAACATAGAAATATGATATGGGAAAGGAATAAGCTTCCTTGACGTTCACTTCAGTCTTTTGAACATAAGGCACTCGTGGCATTTTTACGTAATGGTAAACGTATCGAGAATATACAATGCTCTACTCAAGTTAGAGTCCAGCTGGGGCTGTTAATGAGACTTGGGTGAGGTCGAAACTGCCGTCCGTTCCAGTCGGTATGAAAATATCTTTTGAAAAGCAAGGATATGTGAAATGCAATGGAATCGTAAGTTCCACTAAAATAATTATCGAAAAATTCAACCACCAGTCCATCATCAACTTAAAGCAAGTAGGGTGAATACAGTTCTTATAGTCTTGATTCGTGATATCTTCAAAGTGGGTCATTGCAGATTTTGTAATAATTTTGAATTTAATTATAACATTGCTTGCTTGTAACTGATCTGTGTTGCTCATCTACAGGCAAAAGTTGCATTCTACACAAAAATGTAGACTTTTATATTAAAGGAATGCTTAGTAATTATGCAGAACTACTCTCATCAAATAAAAAATAAAAAGTCAACAAATTATTCCATAAAAACCGCAGACCTTTGTCATCTTCAGAGAACCAGCTGTGGTCCGATTGAAGGCTGAGCGACGCATCACCACAAACATTTCAGAGTCTTGCTGAGTGGCGTGAGCAAGGCCGGACAAAGAATTGGAAGAAGGTACAAGGGAGCCGGACATCGACTTTAAGAGAGATAGTGGCTTCGAGAAATTACTACTCAAGTCTGGAGACCTGGTCTTTGAGATATGCACCGGAATAGTAGATAGAGTCTTCTACAACATAATAAGAATGAAAGCTGATAGACTAAATTGAACAATGTAAGCATGAATCTAGCAATAGTTTAATTTCAATCCTTTTAGCATGTATGGGCTCCGGAAAGCTAAAATTGTAATCGAATGTATGAAGATCAGGATGACGTGGCTTTCAGTATGCTTGAAGTCTCCTTTAATTGCATAAAAGATTTTTTATCTAGTTTTTTCAACCTGGTTGTATGATCAATAAGACCTAGATAAATGCACATGTCCGGAGTCCCAAGCATCCCTGATAATTTCCAGATCAGGACTGTTGACTTGGTACAGACCCAGACATTTAGCAGACATCGCCAGTGAGCCTTGCCATTCTTAGCACCACATTACAACTCGTCATCGACAGGAAAAGTTGATCCATTGAACAATTCTCCACTGAACGGTTTTGGTATCTCTCCTGTCCTGGTGTATTCACCTTTCCTATATCCTCGTATCACCTCTTTAATACCACAATTTCTTAATTGTCTATTTAAATCAAGTTCATGTTTGTCTATTTGAGCGGATTTAGTGAGACTAATTCATACTCCTTACTTACTCCCTCAACTCCGTGTACAGCCTGAAATGACAAACAAGCCAGCGACAACGTGAATATCTTATATGAATTTTCTCAAAGGATCCAAAACAATGGACGGCAGGGACAGAACTGATAGCAGATTTTGACATACAATCAATCTACATAAGTATCTCAGATGTGAAGGCCGCCATCACCCTGCTGGATAATTAAGAACGAGACGAGTATATCCTGGAGACAGGGTAGAAAGAAGAGGAGTTATTAATCGATATAGTGGCAGTGGGCGAGTCAAGGCACTGAACTAGAGAGAGAAGAGGTGGATTCTACGTAACAAGAGGAAGACATAAATAAAAGAATTTCGGAGTAAAAGGGCGGACTTGGATCAACACTCTCAGAACAGTGGGGGATGAGTGAACCGGCAGTAAGTATAAATAGATCTCACTACATCCCTTCAAAGGGGCACATCAAAAACAGGTTTAAATAAAAATCATGAAATTGTGATATTGAAAAGGGCTATGAGGATAGAGAATAGGTGAATACACTAGGACAGCAGAGGCACCACAACTATTTAATAGACAATTGGTCAAAGGGCCGACTTCCTTTGCCTCTGATGAGTTGTGATGTGGTTCTAAGACTGGAAAGGCTCACTAACGATGCCGGCGAAATATTTTGGAATGTACCAAGTCCATGATGTGATGCTGGAAATTACCATGGGTACTATGGAATGAAGAAGAGGTGCGATCTAGGTCTCCCTGACAATACAACCAGGTTGCGTAAGCAAGGTCAGACTACTAAAATTTTTAATTGATACAATAATGCGAAGACAATTCTACATTTGATGCAAGAATAGATTCTAAGAAACTCTGTAAAAAATATCACCATTGGAAGATAAGCTATTGTTTAAAATGCTTGCAAAGATCAGAGATTAAGATAAAATCGAAGATCATAAAAAATGGAATTTTTCAAATAATTTTCGAAATATAACCTGTCTGAAAGATAAACTTATTAAAGAAACTTGAAATAGGTTAAAATGAGTCTTTAAATAATTGAATCCAACATTCAAAAGATAGATATTCAATTTAAGAAGTATCGTAAATAAAAGATGGCTCAATTTGTTATATAAATAGGTTATGAGAATATGAGTAATTATTAACTAGAGCTTAGTCGCCCAAGGTTACACAATGTAAATTTTTCTACATTCACATGAGTAGGCCTCACGATGCCATTGAACTTCACCCAACATTGTCTCCCAAAAGTTTATTTCATCCAAAGTGTGCTGCAGATTCGTCTCCGCCTGTGTATCCATAGCCACCATATAAGATTCGATACCGCATCGTGAGTATCATGGCGATGTTAATACCCCATTACAGTAAACAGCCACAGGCGCCATTGAGTGACAGAGCAAATAAGACATTCAAGGCTGGCCAGGCCTCTCCCAACTTACATTTATAGTGGGATTATCGATTAAGCAAACATGTGTTTTTCATTACAATCGACAATGCTTGAGATAATATTACCTATATACTTATATCGAAAATACGTGAAATTGAATAGCGTCTTTAGGCCTACTCATCTCGTGGGGTAAACGCACTAACAGTGGTTAACTCATCTTACGCGGCCTGGAGTGACTATGTTCTTGATCGTGCTTAATATTTGCAAGTATAGAAAACAGTGAAGTGATGAAAATCACAAGAGGATTGAGAAAGGATAAATATAAATATAAATATGCAGAAATTAGAAGAAAGCTACGAGACAGAGAGACGTAAGCTATTTACGTTCATAGATCTTAAGTCTAGATTAAGGAAGGATTTAGGTAGGCTTCTCGCTTTGGATGATTTTCAAAAACTCCAGAGCATGACCGATCAGAAGTCACAGAGGGTCCGGGATCT